GAAACGGTGTTAATAATTTGTCTTACACATATGAGACACATCGTTTGTCGGTTCTAAATGCGACATCTATAGAGAAGTCTGCTCTTTTTAACCGCAAACATGTATAAATAAAACCACTTTTTTTTACATTAGTAATTCCTTTTGTGCATAATTTTATATTATTGTTAGTAATAAATTAATTAAAGCAACAAAACAATCTGAAGAGCCGGTTCGGAGCCGAAAGAGCCGGCTCTCTAAAAAGAGACGGAAATCCCATCACTAGAGCCAGGGCTGCTTCTTCCTGTTGAAAGGGAGTTTTTCCTTCCCACTGTTACCAGTTGCTTGCTCATAGACTGTCATCTGGTTGTTGGGTTCTCTCTGTATTGTTGCAGGGTAGGTTTACATCCAAATATTTAAAGCTCCTTGAGGCAACCGTTGTTGGGGTTTGTTGCTGTATAAACAAGATTGAATGTTTTCACTTTCACAAGTGCAGAAAAACAGGTGAGTCAGGTTGCTGTCAATCAGTCACAGTCTGTGCGCAGCTATGCAAACATGAGAAATAGGCCTTAGCAGCCACAATAAGTGAAAACACCTGTTTGTCTCTGTGTGTATAGACCTGTGAAGTAGGGTTTAGTAGGAGACAGAAGGAAATTGGAACAAACCAAAAACATGCTCGGGCCGTTGTTTAAATGAAATAAATGGTAAGAGACATATTACAAAACACACCTTCTTTCCCAGCTGTAACGATTTAAAAAGGAACAAATGACTGCATACGAGGACAGATGTGTTACGTAGATGATTTGTGAATTATATGCTCTATGTGAGAGGTGAGAGAAGACTTTATTCACTGTGGTTCAGGTGCAGGTCCGGCCTCATCTGCTCGCCTCAGACCAGCTGTTTGAACGTGGAACTCAGTACTACTTACCTTGGAGCCGGCCGTTCCCATGACTCGGGCTCATTAGTAAACATTAACGATGATTCCAGGGCTCAATAAGACATTTTGAACACGCAAATCTTCCTTCCTGTGTTATCATTAGCTGTTGACAGTGCTTTCTGTTGTTACTAACAGTGAGCATCGGCTCAGTGGTTGCGCATTAAATCAGCGCGATATGGGATCGGCCTAAACAAACAGTGTTTGTTTTTGTGGGAGCTAGTAGGAATCTTGGGGTCTTTATAAAAGGTTGCTGTGACCACATGCTAAATATTTTCTTTCACTGTCTTTTTCTGTTTCTTTTCTGCCGCTTTGTGTGAGCAGAAAAAGGAGCGCGAGTGCATGCAGCTGCGTATAGCGGTCCTTCACAGCGAGCTGGAGCGGCAGAGGAAGGCGCTTGGGAGGGAGAGAGACCTGCGACAGAAAGAGAGGGCGCTGCTGCAGAAGAAAGGTAAATGGGATAGGTGGACATGCTGCATGTGCACCTGGGGAAAGTGCTAACACCACACCACCGTGCATACATCACCTTTTAATATTGTTTGATGCTATTGTGTGCACCCTTTAGCGCTGGCTTGCAGTAACTAGTGGGTGAAAACATGAACACACAAGCAATAAGAAAAATGAAAGGCCCCGGGCTCAGTTCGGTCTTATATAATAGTAACTTCAAATGATCGGTTATTCCCTCTGCAACTCATTTTGCTGTCTCCAGTGGTGCTGCGTCACTCAGATCCTGCTTGTGGAAGAAGACTTAATATAATGGTAAAAACATGTGCTCCCAATTCCAACAAAATCCCCAAATCTTTTCATGATAATCCACAGAAGGCTCTGCTGCAGCTACCAGTTGTAAAGAGAACAGGATATAAAAGTAGTTCTGACAGTTTGACTATTTTGTGTAAATTGTGGTAAGCACAGGTCTAACCAGGATGCTTTGCATGTTAATTTAGAACAATAGTGAGTTTGTTTTGGCTCACTCATGTAATAGCTGGGAGATGTTAGCCTGTCACTTATGCAGTGCAA